AACAGTTACAGTCAATGAAAATTTCTGTGGCTTCTTCCATCTCATTCTCTCAGCCAGATTAGGGCTGGGCCCTGGACAGATATTGCATTTGTACTACTAAATTATAAAAAAATTGGGGTTGGAAGGGACCTCAGGAAGTCATCTAGTCCAACCCCCTGCTCAAAGCAGAACCATTCCCAACTAAAACATCCCAGCCAAGGCCACTTTGTCTAGCCAGGTCTTAAAATTTGCAAAGATGGAGAGTCCACAACCACTCTGGGTAACCTGTTCCAGTATTTTACTACCCTCTTAGTGAGAAAATTCTTCCTACTATCTAATCTAAACTTCCCTTACTGCAACTTGAAACCATTGCTTCTTGTTCTGTCAACTGCCACCACTGAGAAGTCTAGCTCCATCCTCTTTCGAACCCTGCTTCAGATAGTTGAAGGCTGCTATTAAATCCCTCTCAGTCTTCTCTTCTCCAAACTAAATAAGCTCAGTTCCCTGAGCCTCTCCTCATAAATCAAGTTCCCCAGCCCCTTCACCATTTTCTTTGCTCTCTACTGGACTCCCTCCAATTTGTCCACATCTTTTCTGTACTGGGGGGCCCAAAACTGAGCAGAGTGCTCCAGATGTGGCCTCATCAGTGATGAATAAAAAGGAATAATCACTTCCCCTGATCTGCTGGAAATACTCCTACCAATGCAGCCCAGTATGCCGTTAGCCTTCTGTGCAACAAGGGGACACTGTTGGCTCATATTCAGCTTGTTGATCACTGTAACCCCTAGATCATTTTCTGCACAACTGCTGCCCAACCAGCCAGCCCCCAGCCTGTACCGGTCCATGGGATTCTTCTGTCTTAAGTGCAGGACTTTGCGCTTGTCCTTGTTGAACCACATGAGATTTCTTTTGGTCCAATCCTCCAATTTGTCTAGGTCACTCTGAATCCTAGCCCTACCCTCCAGTGTATCTACTACTCCCCACAGCTTGGTGTCACCTGCAAACTTGCTGAGGGTGCGTTCTATGCCATCTTCCGAGTCACTGATGAAGACATTGAACAAAACCTGCCCCACGCACTCTACTTGATACCAGCTGACAGCTAGACATCAAGCCATTGATTACTGTTCTTTGAACCCGATGCTCCAGCCAGTTTTCTATCCACCTCACAGTCCATTCATTCGGCCCATACTTCCTTAGCTTGCCTGCAAGAATGTTGTGGGAGACCATATCAAAAGGCTTGCTAAAAAAATCAAGGTATACCATATCCACTGGTCTCCCTGAGTCCACAGAGCCAGTCACCTCACCATAGAAGGCAAGCAGGTGATTGCCCTTGGTGAATCCATGCTGACTGTTCCTAATCACCTTCTTTTCCTCCAAGTGCTTAGAAATGAATCCTGTGAGGGTCTGTGCCGTGATTTTTCCAGTGACTGAGGTGAGCGACTGAGGTCTGTAGTTCCCTGGATCCTCCTTTTTCCCCTTTCTTAAATATGGGCATTATGTTTGCCCTTTCCCCAATCATTCAGGACCTCTCTTAATTGCTATGAGTTTTCAAAGATGATGGCCAGCATCTCTGCAATCACATCAGCAAACTCCCTCAGCACCCTTGGGTGCATCCCATGGACTTGTATATGTCCAGCTTTTCTAAACAGTCCCTAACCTGTTCTTTTGCCATTGTTGGCTACACACCTCTTCCTCAGACTACTGCACCTGGCAGCAGAGCCTGAATGTAGCACTACAGGGGTCTATAGAACCCCCTATAGGACTCCCTTCTTCTTACCCTACCCAGAAGCCCTAGTGAGACTTTTCTACTGCTGTCACTAAGAGGCTGATGAGAATATTACTAAGAGCTGAATCTGAATAGCCTAATGACAATGTATGAATTGTGCAGTCTGTAAAGGGTTAACAGCCACCTGACTGTCACAATCCCCTGGACCATAATAGGATTTGGCCTCAAACAGAATAGCAATACAGACTATGCTCACAAAATGAAATTTAATCTTAAAAAATATGGAACTACTGAAATACAAGAAAGTAGTTATACATTTTAACTGTGATCATCTGAATTACATACATATTATCAACACGGTGCATAATAAGGTCAGAGCTATTTAGTGTTTGATTAGAACAAGTAACATAAGTAACACAAGAATAAAGCCCTTATCTAAAAATGCAGACAGACTGTGCTGTTCTTACTGTCCTCCTGTCATCAGTACAATACTTTCAATATTCACCACTATAGCAGAAATTATAAGGAAAACTTCTGTTTGTAGCACTGCTACATATCATGATTTTACTTTGACTCAGGATACTTGATATCTTAACTGAAATCCCAGCTCTTGGTGATACAAGTTTATAGGAAAATCTTGATTTTCATTATAAAATAAAATAAAGAAAATGTCTAAGCTTCATAATGGTAGAGAATAGTTTGAGCAAGTGATGGAAAGTGCCCCTGCAGGCTCAAACAATTAAAGCCAAAATAAAACAGAATCCAAAATATATCATTATTTTTAAAACTACTTATTTGATGGCTGATCTTTATTTTTGAATATTCAAGACCAGTAAATTGCTTTGTCCTCTTGACAGAAACAACCAAAGGTAGATTTTGAAAGACCAGTAAAGCACAGTTCATTTTTCCATTTTAAATTCATTCAGGTTTCCATAAAAACTAAAGTAACTGCTTGTCTGAGAGGGCAGGGAACAATTGCCATCACAAACTCAAGAACAGGACAGCTGGCCAGAGTATTCCTCAGGTTCTAGAATATCAGAGATCCTGGCCCCTAGACTGCATGTGCCCAGATCCAGCAGGCCCCCAAACCACCCATTTTACATTGATTGCTTTGCAGCCCCAGGAACTTGTATGCTGGCAGAATAATCAACACACCCGAGATATGATTTATCAGACTATTCTGCATTCTTCCACTGACAGGAATTCAAGGATATCTGTAGCCAGGAGGGTTGGGAATTTGATTTACTCTAAAGTGAATTTCAGATCAAATGATACAACTTTGAACCAACTGTACTGCTCAGTCAATAGAATCACCTTTTGCATATATTCTCAGCTGTAGGTCTACCAACTTCATTGCAAGACTACACCCTGCAGTATTTGTTAGATCAACCCCATGGTCTTCACTGCAAACACTGAAATATGGCTAAGCTTGCCAGAATTTGATTTTTATTGGTAAACATTGATAAACATCAATTTCATCTCACATTGACTAAAAGAAAAATATTCCATCGTTAATAATCACAATTTATAGAAAGGGAACATAAGAAAAATGATGGCTGATGAAGCATGTGATGATGGGGGAGCAGTCCTACAGAACCATGCTGACTGTAGTTTGGACTGCAACTCCCCAAAACCCAAGGGGACTGGGAACAAAAGGAAGAGGACATGACAAAGTGGAAGTGGGAGCTATGAGCAAGTGGAGCCAGGACTGATGGCAGCTCTGCCACTCAGCTGGTGGTAGGGTAACCACCCATCTCTAATTGGGTGGGAAGTCCCAGAATGGGAATATCAAGTCCTAGTCCTGAGCTGCATGACTCCTGGACAGCATTTGTCTCAGATCTGCAGTATCCTGCAGGGATCCAGCTTTTCCATTTACCATGGGAAACAGCAGGTTTCCCAATGCAGGCTGGCAGCATTCCAGCCTGCCAGAGACTGCTGGGAGTGGGACACAGGGGGAGCCACATGCATGTGCATGCCCGCATACGTGCATGTAGCCGGGGGATGCAGCCAAGCAGCGTGGAGAGCAGCTCCCTGCAGGTAAGTCTATGGGGAGGAGGGGACATAGGAGGGGCAGGGGAGGAATTTTGAGGCTCCCATGGTGACGGGGCAGTGGGGCAGGAGCTGGCGGTGCTGCCCAAGGGTGGTGCATGGGGTCTGGGGCTGAGGTGAGGGATGGAACCATGGGCAGCTCATCCTGGAGGGCTGTGGCTCCCCACCACTGTGTGCACCCCCAGGGGCACGTGGAGAGGCATGTGCTCCCCAGATTTGTGTGCAGGGTGGGAGATGATTTTTTTGTCTGAAATACAACCAAAAAGAAGAGATTTAAAAAACAAAAACTGCAGCATATCTGCATCAGATTGTCTCATACCTATCAGACACCAGCCAAAACTGGTGAGGGAAGACCAAGTCCAAAACGAAAGCATCACTCCATGAGCCAGTCCCAATAAAATGGCACCTCTATTAAAAAATAAGAAAAAAACAAATACAATTATTTAAATCTTGTAATTAATCATACTCAAAGAGAGACTTTCAGATGATGCAGAAAGCACTTATTCATTTAATTTACATGCTTATTTAAAAAGAGAAAAAAACTACTAACATACTACTTTTCACACCTTATAACGCTTTTGCTATCAAAGATGCTTATATGAACAGAAATATTTTTATCTAATACTCTTTTCATTTCGTTCTTCAGTGGCTGGATCTACACAGGCCATTATGGCGCATGAATAAACTGCAAAACTTATTGCTCCACAGTTCATTGCGCCTGGGTATACCAGTTACACATGCAGCCAGACCACAGCACATTGAGTCGGGTTGGAGCACCCCCTGGCTTGCATGCTCCAACCCAGCTGTGGAGGGGCTGGTTGAGGCTTGAGGGTGCTGCAGCATGGGGCTAGCCAGTAGGCAGCTCTCACACTGAAGCCCCCACATGTCCCAGCCAGCTGGGTTGGTACACAGTGCACAAAAAAACTCTGCAGCAGGGTAGTACTTGTAAATTTAAATGAACTACCCTGCTGCAGAGTTTATTTTCATCCGTCCTAATAAGGGCACATGTGTAGACATTGAGACATTTATTGTGCACTTATTTAGTCAACTGTGCAGTAAACACCTTGTGTGGATGAAGTGAAGCTAAAACTGTTTAGTCGGAAATATTACCCTATGCGCATCTCTAACATGATTCAGTTTCACGTTAGCTTATAAATTTCCTCCTCAAGTTTACTTTTATAGACCTTCTGTTCAGTCAGTGATGTAGCTCATTTACTATTTTTATAAGTCTTGCATTAATACATTTTGAATTACTACTTTTGGTGTGTTAAATCAGACACTATGCTACAATACTAAGTCTTATCCCATGGCCCAAATCTTATAATTTACTATCCTGGCTGACTAATAATTATTATTGAATAGTTATACTGCCATGATCAAACCTCATCCTGGGTTACAAAATTTACATGATTTATTATCCAGGGTGCTTAAAGACGGTATTTAATGGGTATACTGTTCTAGAAACCAGAAAACACAATCAAGAATTGATCCCTGATCAAAGAAGCCACTGCAGAAACATATCTGAAAATAAGTAGTACTGAGGAAAATTCAAATTGTAACTTGTAGTTAATACAGTTGGGCCCCAACCCTCAAATGAGTTCTGTGTAGGAATAACTTGCCACTTACTCTATTCTACATACGTATTTATATCATGATCATCACTATAGTATCTGAACAGCATGACTAATGCTAATACATCTTGTTCTCTCTCCCTCTCTGGACAGGGCAGGAAACTAATACAGTGACATGTTTTGATTTGGCAGTTTCAGGTTGTGAAGTTCATTGAAGGATTGGTGCCATAGCATTACTTTTCAAAGTAGGGGGGAGAAAAACACAAAACTCTCTTACCCATATGGATTAGGATCAGGCCCAGGATATGGGTGTCCACTCACAGCCCATCTAGAAACAAGGGAGACTTCTCCAAATATCCAAAATGTGAGGAATATGAGGCTGCCAAAAGCTGTCCCTGACAAAAGCCAGTTTGACCCAGAAACAGTTTCTTTAGCTGTACCACCAGTCTTCTTACTATATGGGTCTAGAATAAAACAAAGCATATTGTAAATACGGGCAAAAAAGTTAACTACTGCCAAAAAAATTTTAAGGAAAAATAGTTGGGGTCAGAATACAGTCACAAAAATTTACCAACTCAGGCACGTGCAGCCACACATGTGTATGTGAATGTGTGCACACACACATCAGCTCACCTACACATTACCACGATAGGTGATAATGAGAACACCTCATTAAATTTTACTAGATATGGTACTCAGAAAAAAACTGTTCGCCTTAAGGGAATGGGCTCAATAGATTTTTAAACTACTGTATACTGTATTGGCATAGTCTTTAAGACATTTGTGATGTTAAATCAACAGAAAAGTCACTAACATTAGCTGAAAGGGAGCTGCTATCTGAAATCCTAAACCCTGGTAAGAATGAAACAAGACACTTCCAAAGAAACCAGAAATAACCCTCCCTCCTTTTTTTTCCATGCATTTTAGATCTTCTGTCTAGTAAGTATTTAATTTGACTGTACTATCTATGTAGTGATGTCAGCAATCAAGGATTATTTTCCCAAACTAACCCCCTTTCCCAAGTTTATAAAATTTTGAAAATTGGACTGAACTCACCCTAAAGTCTTAAATTAGCATTAATTTCTGTTATTAAATATAACAAAATGGATGACCATCATTTAATCTATGATTACAAAGCGGACAAACTTGAGCATTTCTATTTGGTTTCTTTAAAAAACAATGTAAGTTCATGCTCTAAGTAGCAGAAAGCTATTGTTGAGGATAATTTGTTTCTATAAGCATTTTACATTATTAACAACTAAAAGTATCTATGACACCATTTTTAAACCTAGAGACCCCTAATTAGACTCACAAATCTATTTAGTTCAGCACCTAAATAAAAGTGGCCTATTTTCCAGACATGTTAGATAACAGACCATTGAGGTCAGCGGGAGACTCTAAATTTCCCCACTAACCTAAGCACTTATCTCCAGATGTTCAGGTCCTGACATATCAGACTTTCAAATTACTATTCTGAATAGTGATTCAGGCAGACAGAAATCAATTTTAAGGGGTCTTTATGACAGGGGGAAAACTATAAAAAGTGGTCCCAAACCTGCTCTTAAAAACTCCCAGACATGCTTGAAATCATTTTAGTACTATATACAGCTCATACAGAGTGCATGGGGTGTAGTCTGATACACAGGTCTTGCCTGTCCCATTTATGGACTTTTCATTCCATAAGCCAGTAGTTCTCAACCTTTTTTGTCTTACAAATGGGTCCTGGTACATCGATGGCCAGTCCCAACCCAGGAAATAGTTTAAGTAGAAAACACACAAGTATTATGGCCCCAAAATACTTATTACAGTCTACAAGTTAAAGCAGCTCAACAGTCTTAATTTTAAAGATAGAAATCAACATTAACAGGTAAACATTAACAGCAATATCATCATGTGGCCCTCCATTATTTCCAAGTGCTGTTCATCATTGTGCAATTCGCACAAATCAATTTGCCAATGCCCTTCACTCCTGAGTCGCAGCCCCCTGGCCCTGCCTGTGCCCCTCATGGCCAAGCCACAGCACCCTGGCACTGATGATGCCCCTCACTCCTGACCCACAGCTCACTGGCCCCACCAGTGCTCCTCACTGCTGACTCATTCCCCTGCCCACCAGGCCATGCTGGTGTCCCTTCCCCCCCTCCCCCCAGCCTTCTGGTGCCCCTCAATCCTGACCCACAGCATCCCCCATCCCTGCTGGTACCCCTCATGTCTGATCCACAATCCCCTGCCCCCTGTGCCATGGTGGTGCCCCTCATGCTTGACCAGCAGCTCCCTTCCCCCCCAACCCTGCCAGAAGGGGCCCCCAGCTGCCCCAGTCCTGCCTGGTGGCTGCAGTGGCTCCAACTCATGTGGGCAGTGGTGTAGTGAATCCAGCCCCAGCATGGGCTGGAGGGAGGAGGAGGAGGGAGGGCGGTCTTTGGCACCCCCATACCCCAGGTCGGGGCTCCCGTACTGCAGCAGGCAGTCTGGTCAAGGACCCACCCATCCCTTGAGCAGTGTCTCCTGGGCGCCCTGCCTCTGTGAGTACAGGCACTGACCCCTGGTGCTGCCACCCCTGAATGACCATCCATTGCCCCCATTCCCCACTGGAGGGGCAGGCACCTTCCCCCCTGCCCTGACTCAGCCTCAGTACCCAGCCACATTCCCGCAGTGCTCGCAGGCAGGCACCTCCCCTCCCCTCCCCC